CTCTCTCTCTCTCTCTCTCTCTCTCTATTCCTGCTTAAAATTTTTAAATAAATTTTATTATTTATAAAACATGCTAAATTAAAAGTGAATTCACACTAAAATTTTAATTTAAAATAAATTCTAAAAATATCTACTAAAGACAATATTTACGACAAAAATCTTGATAACAAACCTTTATTCAAAAAACTAATTAATTAACGTTAATGTGTAAACTTCAAAAATAAAATACATAAAATCATGATAAAAACAAACAAACAACGCTATTTAAAATCTGGATGAGTGCGTCACTGATTCTGATTGGGTAATCAACACACAACTAATTTTTACTATTATTTTCCGTTACATTTACTTTAAACTTTTGGAACAACAACCAAAAAAATCATCATGCTATTTTCGTAAACATCGATGTTATTTACGCTAACCCACACATTACTAACTAATGACTGATCATTATATATGCCATGATGGTAATGGTGCGACCAGATTAACAGTGTGACCAGATGTTAGCAACATCGTTATTACAATATACATGTAATATATTTGTGTATTTTAATAGTTTTTTTAGTTGTTATGTATTAAGGTGACTTTTTTTAATACAAATTATTATTATTTAGAATTATTCTTTATTATTATTTTTGCAATTTTTACCATTTTGTTTTAAATTCTATATAAGAAAATAATAACTGTGAAGAATATTTATTTAAAAGTGTGGTAATAAAATAAATATAAAATAATTTTATATCTAGATAACAATCTAAATAACAATTATCTAGACAACAATTTTTATGATGTTCAGCTATTATAATTGTCTATTTAGAAATAGTTTATAAATTTTAATTTCAATTCTGTATTTAATTTTATAATCAATTGACAATCGCCATATATATATTTTAATATCAAATTTTTATTATTTAATTACTGTATTACCTTTAAACTGTAAACCTCAATGATAAAATAAAAATGTTAATTATAAAAACTAAATTAAAAATAATTTAATTTTATAATAAAATATTTTTGATAAATAATTTGCTTACATACCAAAAAGGGTCATTTAATAACAATTATGAACATCGTTTATGTATACCGATTACTGCCCACGGATAATAGGCAATATGATTGGATATGGTATTGCAAATATGTCCACGTGATAACCACATGGCATTTATTTAGAGTTAACAAAAATAACAAAATAAGGTAAATTTATTTAAAATAACTATTTATAACTACTAATTACGATTTATCGACAATGTGTTAAACATTTATAACTCCAGGTAATTATTATTAAAACACCAACATCAAAACCAATGTAAGTAAATGATTAAATCTCTTAAATTATAAAACATAACAAAATTAACACATGTTTATAGGGCTAAGAGAAAGGGTACAAAACGCCGGGCACCCGATACCGGTAACGGGACCGGTACCCGAGCCGTGGCCGGTCATTGGTCGGGACCTGCGTTCGACGGCCCGGACGATATCGTACCCGTCGGGCGGCGGGGCCGCGACGTAACCGCCGAGTTGGCACGTATGATGAATAGGGGTGAATACTTTCCCACAGTCGGTGTAATAGGGTTAGTATACAGTATACTTTTTAAATTTTTTTGTATCATGTTTAATATAATTTTTATAATATTTACTAAAATATAGTTTAGACAAACAATTGGTGCGCGAGTTGGAGGTGGGGTTTTGGTACGCTATGGTGAACGCGTGGGCACCGATACCCGACGGGGTATACCTGTCGCCGGAAATCGTTGGCAAAAGCACTGACCAGTCTAGCGATGACACCGATCGGGACACTAAGGGTGTGCTATTTGGACAGTATTTCAAGAACGAGCCGACACTAGTGCGCCAAATGTTGGCCAACGGGGCGGCGCGGGCTGACTGGTCGATATACCTGGTCATATCGCCGTACGACACGCCGTACGTCATAGTTCACCCGAGTGTACTCGTTCAGCGTAGGGTGGCCACCGGGCTCGAGTGTAAGTGTAATTTTATTACTCAAGTTCATTATAAAAAAATGATTTTTTCACTGATTTTTTGTGTAACATGAGTCACACCTTGTTTTGATTTTATGTCATTTAATTACATAGATTACTATTACGAACCCTACGCCGTCCACGAGCAGCCGCCCCCGTATATGCCCGACGTGTTGGACACTGTACTCAATGGCCGCACCAGTGATGGCCAGTGGGGTTCAGTAGAGGTGCGCCGGGCGTACGGCTCGCAGGGCCAGTGCGGCGACGGTTTGCGCCGATGTCTCATATTTATTGCCAACTTTCTGGACGACCCGACGGTGTTGTGCGCGTACAACTGGTCACCCTATGCTTATAACCCGCGTAATCGCTAGAATTGATGCATTTTTTTCTCTCAACCCATCAATTATTTTACTTTATATTTGAATTTTTAACATTAAAAAATTATTATAAACTCGAATAATTATAATAAATTAAATATTTTTTAATTACCATAAAATGTGAACGTTATTTATTACATTGATTTGTTATGTAAAGCACGTGATAAACACGTGGCACCCCTAACATTGTGTTTAGATTTTTATGAAACATTAACGCCATTATTACCATAATTAACTTATTGTGACCACTATTCTGGCTATTATTTAATAAAGACTAATGAAGTTATTGTTATTTAATACAATGCAAATTAAACCATACGACGAGAGGCAAGTAATTTTTTGTCAAAACAAACTTGATTAATAATCAACGATTATTTATATTTTTAATTATTTAAACTAAAAAATTATAAATTATTAACTAAAACAAATTGTGATTATATTTAATAGTGTTACCAAAACCGTGGGACTCCCCTGGGGTCCCGCACCCGTGGCCTCCATTCCGGACACCGGCCCGGGGTTTACCGCTGTGGCCGGTATTGACGGACCGTACGATATCAGGCCTGTGGGTGCCCGCGGGCGCCATGTGATGGACGGGTTGGCTGCGCTACAGGCGCTCAAACTATACACACCCGAGTTTGGAATCAAAAGGTATTGCACCCAACCTTTCACTAAATTTTTTACATGTTTAATTTGTGGAGTTTAAATTACCACGCCGCCACCCCCCCCCGTGTAGCCCAACGTTATTAAAATTTCCATGTTAAGTCTATTGGCATACGAATTGCAACGCTAATTCAATGATTAAATAAATTTGTAGAATATTTTATTAATAATTTAATAATTTTTATACATGAAGCCAATCATTTTCACATATATTATTAATATTATTCTACCTTGAACAAATTTTTACCCACTCAAAAGTGACACTAGGACCAAAACCCGTGAGGCGGAGCTACGATTTGCGCAGGTGATGGCCGTCCGCCGGTGGACACCTCTACCGGACGGCACGTATTTGTCGCCCAATATTCTGGGCCGAAACGCGCCGATAGGTGTCGGCCACAGCGACCGGGACGCGAATGGTGTGCTATTTAGGGACCATTTTAGAAACGAGCTGGCCAACGTGCGCGTGTCGCTGGGCCAGGGTGCCAAATACACTTGGTCGGTCTACCTGGTGATGACACCGGTCGACCCCACCGGTATACGCGTTCACTGCACAGCACTTGTGCAGCGAGTGGTCGGCAATTGGTTGCAATGTAAGCTTGATATTAATTATTACCATAGTTGGCAACATGAGTATTATGACGATGTGTTAATCAATCCTTGTTTTGGTTGTATATTATTCATAGATCACTACTACGAACCGCTGGCCACAGATCAGCGCCAGAGCACTGTTTTGCCCGAATTCTTGGTTCACTCACTGCGGGCTATGATTGGCCAGAAGTGGTCAGTACTGGTGCGCCGGACGAACGGCTCGCAGCGCACACCCGGTAGTAGTTATCGCCGGTGTTTGATATTTATCGCTAACTTTCTGGACGATCAGACGGTGCTGAACGCGTACAACTGGTCACCCTATGATCTCGTACCGTGACACTTGGGCTTTACTGTTTGATAATTATTATTTGAATGTATTTTGTTTGTATTTCAATTAATTAATGAGCTTAATAAATTTTTGTATAATTATATGGCTTATATTTTTAATCGTGGTCAACAATGATCATTGTGTATGGTATTCATGATTTATTACATGTATAACAGGGTCAAATTTACGCAAACATGGGTTAGCCAGTAATATATACATAATATTACAGAATATTACAGAATATTCTGTGAATTTTATATTAAATGCATAACATTTTTAGGCAACAATTTTCATACGAGCGCACAAATCAATACCACTTATAATACATAAAACAAATTTTGTATTGATTTTATATGCATTCATATAATATCTTATCACTCAATATATGATTTTCACGACAACAATTGCTAAAAAACACTACAAAAATCAGTCAAAAACGTACAATTGTTTTCCACTAGAAATATATGGATATAATTGTTAACTGAAGTTTGAATAGTATTAGAGAAATGGCATAATTTTGATAATAAATGCCTTCCCCTTAACCGTCCCCTCAGATCATCCCATTTCTACATCTCTCTCTCTCTCTCTCTCTCTCTCTCAAAATTTTAACCCCAAAAACACAATCAAATTCATGTAAAATAATGCAAAAAATATTGTATTTTATATGAGATATTCACAAACAATACAAATAAAAACACATATTCTTAGGCTTTCAACTGAAACGCGAAAACAAAATATATATTGAATTCAATTTTGTTTCAAAATAAAAGTTTTGTTGTTTTCTGAATAAATAAAATAGTTTTTATTTACATTTGTTTTATATAAAATTGGAAATTGTTTTTTATATTAAATAAATATTTACTTTCTTCTTTGTATTTTCATTATACAAATTTATTATTTATTAAAGTTTTATTTAACATTTATAAAATTGTTTAAATAATTGAGCTTATTGTAACTAGATTATTTAATTATTTATAATTCTGTTCAAACCTTTTTATAAAATATTCAATGAATTTTTTTGTATTCTTAATTAAATTAAAAGTTTTATTATATTTTTAATAATTAAATACTTATAAATAAATATATATTTTTAACAATAATAAATTACTAAAATTAATAAGTTATTTATTAAAATTTAATTGAACTTTAGTATTTATTAAATGAGCTATGTATAATCTAATCTATTTTTCTTAACATTCAACAATAAAATACATTTAATAAAATCTATTATAAAAATTGAATTTTTATTTATTTTTGGTAAAACTAAATTACATTGAAAAAAGTAAATTGATTTTATTTTAAAAATGAAACAAAAACATAAATTATCAATAAAATTTGTCTTATATTGAATAAAAACAAAGTTGCAATATAAATATTTATAGCATGAAACAATTGATAAAACTACATTATTAAATAAAATATACTTGACCAATTTATACATTATTAATACTACTTTATTTTATAAGAAATTACCATAAATACAGATCAAATGTTTGTAATAAATAATTTAATATTAAAATAATATAACAAATACAATCAACTTTAGATAATTCAATGCTGTAATTCAATTTTAAAAATAAGTACATAGATTAAATAAATGATATAAAGTTTTACAGTTAAATTTATAATTTTAAATAATCAAAATTATTATACTAAAGATAAAATAATACAATAATAATTAATAACAAATCCAGCAAGCTGAAATATTATTACGGCGAACAGAAAAAGGGAGAAAAAAGGGTAAAAAGTATATATTAAGGTGTAATTGTAAAATTTATCATAGGTCTGTTAGCTTATGAGTGTAGCTTTTGTGGTGAAATTACATAAATGACTAATACTACAATATATATAAAAACTCCGAGTGTTCGCCTTAAATATTATCTACACAAATGTAATTGCATTCAATTTTGGCATATGTAACAAAAACATATAAATAAATTGTGTTATTATTTATATTGCATACGCTTGTATGAGAGCATCCAATGAATTTCAAGTCACCCAGCTAAATAAAACACATAAGGTATACACCATGGGTAGATATTATGGGAACTTTTAATACTATATTTTTATTTATTGAGTTTATAAATATTAGCACATGTCGATAGTTTTATACATGATCATAAACTGTTTTTAATTTTATAATAAAATCTATACAAAATTAATTAACTAACCCAATACTCTTCCCAACTTCACCCCTACCCAACCCTTTGCTTATATATTAGATACAAATAACAATCTAATAGTTTTTGTTTTTATCCATTCAATTATATCTCTCTCTCTCTCTCTCTCTCTCTCTCTCTCTCTCATAAAGTGGGAATATAAGACATCCGAACCATAAGTATCGCAACAAAAGAGGATTCAAACGGAGAGAGAATTGAAGCCAAAAACGAGAAGATAAAGAAGAAGAAGATAAAGAAATTTATCTCATTTTTCTAATCAAACAAACAATCAATTCGTATAAACGTTAAGAAAATCTCAGATTCAGAGACTCTCCTTCTCTTTCTCTCCTTCTCTCTCTCTCTCTCTCTCTCTCTCTCTCTCTTATTTTTACACCATTTACGAACCCATTGTTTTGCCATTTATTTTAAAATTGACTGTAAAAATAGATGCAATGATTTGAATGCGCGATCAGATTGTGAACCAATTGTTTATTACGAGCACTAAATTATATCTTGTCTTATCGTCACATAAATTGCTATTTAATGCATAAATCCGACACTTTGTTAGCATTTGATTCTCAATATAACACACAAATGACTGCATTTATGTACAGAATATAAGAGAAAACCATAAATTTCTGTACTCTATGTTAAAGGACTAATTGCCACATATATATCACTTTCACTCTTCGTCAATGCTTTGATAACAAATTTTTTTGTCGAATGTATTATTATTATATTATTATCATTATTATAGTCGTAACCGAAAATAAACTATTTTATTGGTTTAACGCATTCAACAAAACCCAACCCAAAAGCAAATGATCCGAAAATATTCTTATATCGTATGGAGAAATATATATAACATTTATATTACACTAAAAATAAATTCACTAATTTATACATTGTTTTTATGGACACTAAATACACATTTGGAGCCAATTATTCATTTTAAATATAGTTTTTGGCGAATGTAGTTTTATTTGTAATTACATGTCCTATAATTTTTTTAGTATAAATATTAACTTACTTTATTGATGATGGACATTTATTAAATACTGTTGTATTAAACAAATTCATACATATTTATAGCGTATATTTGGCTTTAATATGTATAACAAAATCCTAATAACCAAACATTAATTTGGGATAAATTTGTTATCAAGTGTTTTTTTATTTCAAACATTGTTTATTATTAGACCATCTCTTAACTGACTGTTAGTTATTAATACTATATAATTATTAAGGAATGGATGGCACAAGTGTTTATCAAACATAATACTATACCTGTAAGTCACATTACTTTTAGGAAATGAGATTTAACACTTAATTCTCTCTCTCTCTCTCTCTCTCTCTCTCTCTCTCCT